CTACTGATAATATGATATTATGTTGAAACTCTTGGCAGTAAGTATTTGGGCTTTGCAGAGTTTCAATCTGGGATGGACCTTGCTAGTGTCGAAAAATTTGTTGATGAGAAAAGGCTGTCTAATTTGTTATCCGGGGAAAAAAAACTTCGAAGATGGTGTAAGTTTCAAAGGATTTTCGCTTTTACCACCATTCATCTACACTAAATTCTTGTCTGATCCCGAGTGCCAGGATCCAAGATGTCCCTGAGCTGTGGCGGTGCTGGAGTCTTCAGATTGCAACAGTTTTCTCTAGTGCGTGGCGTGGAAGAGCAGAGCCGAGCATTTGAATGTGCAAGGCAATATCTAAACCCCAAAAATAACACACTACAGGGTGAAGAAAAGGCACGAGTTGAGCAACCAAATGGCCAAAGCGGGGTAGTCCGAGATGGAGCCTGACTTGATCATAGCTCTCACGCGCAAGCTACTCGCAGCATGTTTTTAAAAGCAGCAATGAACTAGAGGACGACTTTGCAGAACTAGGAAGCATGATCTTAAATATCTAACGAGCTCTAAGCACTTCAATTGCTCACACATGTGAACTTGAAAACGCAGCACCCTGGAGAACTCGAAAAGCCCGCGATCATCTAAGAAAGCTTTCAGCTCCAAGGCCTTCTGCAACGACATCACGAATTCGGTAGGCCAAGTAAAGCTTTGTTGATGCTTGCGTACTTACTTGCTGCTGTTTAGTAAGGCCGAGAGATTTCATATCGTTCTTGGTCATGGATGCTACTTCCTGCGAGAAAACCGTTGCCAAGGTACTTCTCGAGAGTCTGCATTTTTTCCTTTCTCTAGATAGAACCTCTCGACTCGTTTTTAAAGTCAAATCTGACGCCTTGCAATTGCAATAGTGTCTCATACTCTTCAAAGTCGATTTTGAAGAGTATCAGTCGACTCATACTCTTCAAAGTCGCATGCAATTGCAATAGTGTCTCATACTCTTCAAAGTCGCATGACTTTATCTCTGCCTAGCTCACCTTGAGAATTTTTGAAGGTATTTGAGAGTTCTAAGCCGCTGCATCGGGATCATAACGTGAATGTTTTTATCAACCTTGGACTTACTTGCTGTCGATCCTCGACTTGAGGTGTCTTCGTAGCCTTCATTAACTCCTCAAGCTCCCAAAAAACTTCCCGCTGGTTTTGGGACGAAAGCGATGATAAGAACATCGAGCATGGTGATGAATGCAAATAATATTTAAGTTTATACTATATAAAAATTACAGTTATCTAATTCCACAGTAAGAAGAAAAATAACCTTGTTAATAGACAACTTGCGGCTCAAAATCGACACAATCAAGCGACCCAGACTCGACTGGAGTCATCAGGTACAAGCTCAGTATTCCAGACACCATTCCGGCAATCAAAGGTAGCCTCTGCAGCGTCTTCAGAGGAGCTGGAGTGGTAGAGTCACCGAGAGCTATAAGTTTCTGGTTGAGCACCACTAGCTCATCCAGCTTCTCCTTGAACGCGGGGTTCTCCACATCCAACACGGCCGGAAAGATTCGTGCTGTTGTCTTGTTTGTCTGTCAGAGAAAACAAACGATCGTGAGTTCCTATTCTCATCTCACTTTAAAATACCTCGATGATGACATGCATGTCGAAATCTTTAGTGTCGAGGCCTATTCCTTCGTAAAAGGCAGTTCTTTGGCAGTCATTTAGGTACATTGTCACGTACACCTGGAAGAGCAAGAGCGGAAGCATGAGCATCTAAAAATTCCAAGAAGAGCCAAAGGTTTGCTTTACCGAGAGACAGAAGAAGCGAGCCCAGAGTTTGGCCTTCCAGTCGTTCAAGAACTGAGGCTGGGCTTTCAGCAACGCCGAGAAGAAGTCGCCGTGCCTGTTCTCGTCTTGGCACCAGTTCTCAAAGTATTTGAAAATCGGGTAAAGCTGGTAGTCCGGATTGGCCTTCAAGTGCCTGTAGATAGTAATGTACCTCCAGTAGCCGATCTTCTCCGAGAGATACGTCGCGTAGAAGATGAACTGTGGCTTGAAGAAGGTGTACTTCCGGGCTTTGGTCAGAAATCCAAGATCCAGAGCCAAGTTAAAGTCG